ACGTTTCCAAGGATACAGATAAATCCACTTCCACTAGACAAGGGGTGTTTGCGTGTTCATTATATCTGTATTTTGATGTATCAGTTATTAGTTACGTTTTGGTAGGGGGTAGGGATGTATTTTTCAATGAAATCTGACATCCGTTAAATGCATGTCGTCTGGATTTTTTAAAATTTTATTGTTAACGGCAAAACTTCTTACGGCATTTTTTCTATTTGTATACTTAAAGATTTTTTGCGGGTGTTTAGGCTAGAATACGTTTTATTTAACTACGATTTTTAAAAATATTTTCACTTTTAATTTTTAATATACTATATTTCTTTTTAAAACAAGTAAATGTATTAGAATTACTTACAGTAGTGTAAAACTATTTTCACATCAAGTATAAGTATGTATATTACCAGGTCACAATTTTTAAAAATTATATTTATTTAAGTAAAATTTATGACAACGACGGCAAAAATAGCTAATTCATTTCTCTGATTTAGTAAACTATTATTTTTTATAAACTTAGTAATATATAGTTTCTCATGTAAGTACAAAGGACATGGGTCATTTAAAGGCCTACATCTTCTAGCTTTTCATATTAATTTCATTTTGCTGTAAGTGTTTTTAAGTGCTTGTAGTACATTGAGAGAGGTGTTTAGGTTAGAATACGTTTTATTTAACTACACTTTTAAAAGATGTTTAGGTTAGAATTCGTTTTATTTAACTAAAATTTTAAATACAACTTTAAAATATTTTCACTATCAGCTTTTGGTCAGGTTTTAAAAAGCTGGTTAGAGCAAAACTTCTTTTGGGCGTCCTTGTATATAATTATGTTTGACTCTATCTTTGAAGAAATTGAAAGTGATCATTTATATTTTCATCAGATTGATGAAGAACAGGGATCCCCCGATTAGCGCGGTTAATATGTACATTAAAAGATACTCACTAACCGAAAACGCATTAATCGAATATAATAACTCATAGGAAATAATGTAATTTGTACCTCAAATATTAATCTCATTCACAATTCATTTCTAATTTGCATACTTTTAATTAAAATATAGGTACATATAAGAAGGTTCAATAAAAACGCAATTAATTAATGTTTATTAAACTAATTTTTTATGAAAACTTTATTTAGAGTGATTTGCCGCATGGTATTATTCTCTTCTTCATATAATTAGCGATGCTAAGAAATTGTCCCTTCAAATTTTCCAAACATATCATAATCATTAGTATTTTTACCTGAAAATTTTTTTTGTAATCTTTCCATAATAAATGCATGCATATTTTATATTTTGATATTTTTTAATAAATGTAAATTTCTCTATCTCATTAAATCGTCCATTTTAAAACAAAAATTCAGAAATTTTCTTTTAGTACGTTCAAAATAAACATGAAAAATCTACATATTCAAAAAATTTTAATAGAGAAAAATACTCAAATATCGGTTTATATTATAAAATTTATGCATTTATAATTGCCCTTTTTAAACACTTCTGTAATTAATTAGATAACGTAATATTTGACAGACAAAATACTTAACACATTTTTCATTTTCGAATTTTAGAAAATTTTTAATTAATCGGTAACTATAAAAATCAGTTTTCAATTACTATAGTTAAACTGAAGAATGTTTTTCCGCACTAATCGAGTATCACGTGTGCACTAATCGAATTTTTGTATATACAAATTTTAGTGCACTAATCGAAAACGCATTAATGGAATGCGAATAAATCGAGGGATTACTATGTATGAAAATGAAGCAAATGAAATGTCTCTATTCTTCATTAATATAGCGTAAGGCGAACATATCACATCGTCGAATCATGTTATCAACGTCACGTTGTAAAATGTTGATATAATTTGACTAGGAAAATTATTTATAAAACGAGTTTTTATATTCACGCCCAGCTCCGCTTGCTCACAGGATGGTATGTGGGAGCAGTAGTCAGAGGTTTTGAGAAAAGAAAACCTTGTCCTTTCTTCATCACTCTTTTTGTAAATGGAGTTCATTAGAGTTCGGACTAAATTTGATATTTTTATTTTTTTCAAATTGATTTGAAATATCTGTAAAATGTGAAATGTATTGTGAAAACAAATCACTACAATTTTAGAGGTGTCAATGTTAACTGACATGGATGAATGGAAGCCATCCGAATATTGGAAAACGGTAATCTGCATCAGGATGATTTGTGCCGGGCATCAAAATGCCGCAATCATGGCATCTGCTCAATGCTCTTTGAACCCCGTGAAAACAATAAGACACAAAATGAAGAGCTGCAACGGATTCCGTGGCTTTTAAGAAAGAACACAACAGACGTTCTGTTTGCTTCCGTGCACCAGAATTCAACAACTGCAGGAGGAAGTGATGGAAAACCCAGGTAAGGAGAAAAATGTGTTGAAATTTTCACCATGTAGCTGGTGAACCTTCGCAATCAGTCATACAGGATGTTTAAAGTTTAACAGAAAAGGCACGATAAAACCATCTGACAAAGTCAAAAAAACTCCTGAACAAAGTGAAACATCCTGTTCAACGAGGGACAATGTAGTTCTTCTCCAATGAAAAGAACTTTTTCCAGGACCAGCTGCAAACACCCAGAAGAACAGATGACGACAATCCATATGACGTTCCTCGCGTCATGAAGACCAAGTTTCCGAAACTGAGATAGTTTGGGCGTGTGTCTCCGATTCATATCTTTGAACAACTTCTCAATTTGGACATCTCTGTGGAGTTGCTGTACTGCGTGGTCAATCCTTGGTTGGAGAGGGTGGCTGCTGACGACTATATATGTGTCAGCAAGATTCAGGTCCCTGCTACATTATTATGTGCGGGGTGCGGTTGAGAAAGAGACCATCTGCATTGCCAGCTGATCTAAATGATTAAAGAGGCGTTTAAGGATTTCCTTAGGGACACCGTGAAGGCCGCATGAGCTAGAGTCTTTCCGTCGGATCAAGGCCATGATAGATACTGAGGGTGGCTTCTCTGAGTGAATTGTCTTTTGATTATTGTAACCTGTATACCACTTTGTTTTTCTTTTGAAAAGCTGCCATATTTTAGCTCGAACACGCTGTATTATATTTGATACCTAACATCATTTTCCATTTTTCTCTGAATTTCATTGAGCATTCCCCACCTTTCAGCTCAGTATTGAATTTGTTATGGGATCTTACCCATAATAATGGACTATTCCATACTTAATAAATACTGCGCCTCAGGAGTAGGCAAGGACGTCAGTAGTTCAAGTTTTGAACCGACTGCACGGTTGTACTCTCTTCCTACGGGCGAGAGGAACCCGAAGGAGGCTACGCCGAAGGGCGTAGTCTCCTTCGGGGAGGTAAAACCGGCCCTGAACCCGTTTATACGGGTTCAAATGGGCTATTTTTTGGCCGAGCCTAATGGCTCGGGAATTGCCCACGTTAAAAAGGCCTTGTGCCACATGACACCCTCGTGGGGGGGTGACTGAATATCGTCAGTAGTTCAAGTCTTGAACGACAGTTCGGTTAAACTCTCTGCCTTCGGGCGGAGAGGAACCAGAACGAGGCTACGCCGAAGGGCGGAGTCTCGTTCGGGGAGGTAAACCGGCCCTGAGCCCGTTTATACTGAATATCGTCAGTAGTTCAAGTCGAGCCAAGAGTCGAGTCAGAGGCAGTCCGAAACAGAGTCGCGTTCAGACAATTACTGCAAGACATTGGAATAGTGATACTGGTCGAGACTACATTGTTCTCTCTACTAAACCTGATTGTTCATACTAACACTTCTACTTTTCTGTATATATTCCTGTTTGTAATATATCTGTGTTATTCCATACCTGTGTTATTCCATACCTGTGTTCGAGTTCTTTATTGGTTCTACCTTGTACTATCACCGTGGTACAAGGAACCGGACCATAACAGAATTTCTCTAATGAAAGTACAATTCTGGTTTGGACTTGATTAATCATTTCATTATTTTCAGTACCTACTAAAGAGACAAGATGTCTTGTTGGAATCGAAATAAATAATGTCTTCTGTATATACCGCAGGCAGAAGAACTTTATTTAAAGCAACGCTATCGACAAAAGGAAGGTCATTCTAGACAACATGTATAGTAAGGGATTTCATTTTTTTATGCATTTTCCTCATTTGCGTCAAAACCAACTATGTCGCGCTGAAATTTGAAACTTGCGTTGTTTCATATACACAGATTTCTTTAATTTCCTTAATATCCAGCAGTTTACTGCATCAATTATTTGATCTTCTTCCCTGAAATGATATTTGGATTTTTTCTCTCTCTCGCTCTCTATGTATATCCTCTAATACCAAAGTTCTTTTGCCTCCAACAGTTGCGAATGTACTGACTGATATATATTACCTTTCGTTCATTTTGGATAATTCTTTTTAGTGAAAAATTGATCTCAACCTTTAAGAAATGCACTCTTTCAATACGGATTATGCACCGGAGAAGCGTGTAAAAATGTTCAATTGAGACCTGAAAGTAAAAGTAACAAAGAATGAATTGTTAGAAGAACTCATCGAATGATAGGCATTTTCCTCGACGTTTTCGACTTTATCATTAGAATGGAATAATTCTGAGGTAAAATTAGTGCTAACCATAAAAAACACTGGACAACACTATCAAATTTCCTTCGACACCATCACTACCTATCTGTTTTACCTACCAACCCAAATAACAGACAAAGGTATATAATACCTACTTGATGTAGATATCGTAATGTAAAACAATGTAAACATATTCATCCTTTACTTTCAAGTATAGACACGCGCCAATTTTTCCATGGCATACAGATAAAAACAAAAACAACAACAATCTAAGTCTGCTTGATTTTGTGAAATAGTCGATATCGATTATGTAAACAAAATAGCCCCTCCCATCAAAAGAACTAAAACATCGGCAAGTCAAAAACAGAGGAAAAATGATCACACAAACAAACAAAATAATACGAGAAAAAATTGTAATATAATAAAACAGTAACAACATTTCACACGTCTATAATTTTGCTGTTTCAAACTTTGTGTTTTATTCTTGTTGTTAAGAAGGAGTGGGGTTGAGTGGTGCGAAATGAAATGGGCAGTGGTGGAGAGGTCGGTTGATGGTGGTTGGCTCATTTGAATTTCTACGGAAATTCCCTCGATGGTAATGGAAATATTTTGGCGGAGAGATTGAAACGCGTTTCTTGCCAGGTAATTCTGTGCAATGGAGAATTTCCCAGACACATCGCAAAGCCTCCAAGATAAAAATCGAATTTCCCTGTGGCTTATTTGCTGCTAGTCTGTCGACCAAACCAATCGAATGGACGCCATTTTGATTTCATCTCTTTTCAATTCACACGAAATTCTTTCTTTTCCTCTTTTTATTTCTGCCTTTTCCCAATTAAATAACTTCTTTCTTTCTTTTTTTCTTTCTTTCTTTCTTTCTTTTTTTTCTTTCTTAATTACTGATATCCTCTCTTAAATCTATCTATCTATCTATCTATCTATCTATCTATCTATCTATCACTTTCCATTTACGTATATACTTTTTTAAAGTTTTCTTTCTTCATACAATTCTTTTACTCTTGAGTATTTTTCGACTCAGTGTCAATAAACGTTGATTTTTTTCTACTTTTCATATGGTGACTTCGACACTTACGTAGAATGGCTTGCTGCCCACAACTTTGGTTCCCGATGAGTATTTTTTTTTAGCTAGTCTAGTCAGTTTTTTCTACCCCGAGGCACGTTGGTCCAGTGCTACGACGCTTACATTATATCATAACGGTCCTGAGTAGTGGATGCACACTGCTTATGTGTCCCAAATAGGACGAAACGGCTTTCTGCATTCTGTTGAGGATTCTTCTAGATTATAAATGATTATAAATATCCCCACTTCCAATTCTATGACGGTTCAGTGTTTGGGAGAGATAGCAAATTTTAAGACTTACAAAGGACAGGAAATTAATGTCTGTGTGTGTGTGTGTGGGGGGGTCATGATCGCCAACGTCCTAAGGGTCACTTCACATACAAGAAGAATTTATATTTTGTTATTTTCGTATTCTTTTGCCATCTTGTTTCATCTTTTGCCTTTTTTTTTCTTTCGTCTTCTCCTTTGTCATTTTGTGTTTCATGTCATTTTTATTTTCACATCTTTTTCCTTCTTTATCCTCTTCCTCTTCTTCTTTTACTTCTGCTTTCTTTTCTTCCTCTTTCTTCACTAAATATTCTGTTCTCTTTCTAAAGCTACGTCTCTTATGATTTCGCCATGTAAATATTATTTAATAGCCGTAGAAGCAAAAGAAATTGTCTGCTATTTTACATTTTAGCTGCTTATCTTATCTTTTAATTTCGACTTCATCAAACATGATAACCAATAATCTATTCAGATAAAACAAGACATCACCCCCCCCCCAAACTCCATAAATCAGTAATGATCAAAGCAGAAATAACCAATTGTTACGCATAAAATTAAGAAAAATGGCGGTGGAAAAGCCAAAGATAAATTGATTTAATCTTTTTTAGTTATTTCAAACGGAACTCTTACACTCCAATGCACAGCGTTAATTAGATGACGACGTATGGATGCTTGACGGATGCGTATAGATTGAGTATTTTAATTGCATTTCTTGGATCTGTGTTTCAAACGATACAGCCGTTGTAGGACAATGTCAATAGCTGTCTAATCACAAGTGATGATTAACACGATAGAAAACAACTAATATTACTAATAAAAATGATGTTAGGATAGAATTCGGAACTGGGAAATGGAAAAGGAAGGAAAAAGATTTAACAACCTAAAATGTTATCCTGTATTCGGTGAATGAAGAATATATATGTATATATATATTATAAATTTACTAATTAAAAAATATGGCTCCATCGCAACACAGGAATTATCATGTTTCAAAAACAGAAACTAAAAACTTCAAATTCAATTATAAAATTAAATTTAAGTCGTTAATCTTGTTTCATTTTCAAGCGAAATTTGGAATAACTTATTTTGAAATGTACTGAGTTTTATAAGCACATGCATTCATAATATTAGTTTCTAAGGATACGGTGAAATCCAATCATTTTAACAAGAGGCAGTAGGGTATTCATTTTCACTGATAACTATTGTATCAAAATATGAGTTACTTTCAAAAAGAGGTTAAGTTAAGGTAGGGTAGGGGTGCCTTTTCTAACGAATGATGACATCCGTTCAACGCATGTCGTTTGGTCCTTATCAACGACAAAATGTTTTTCGGTACTTTTGTTTCGCCGTGAAATTTGTGCTTTTTTTTAATGACTTCTCATGCGGTCGAACTTCGGTAAAGAAAAAGTTCACATCCACCTGTAATGGTATCAAAGGGGCTTTGATGTAGCATGCTGGAACATCAGAACCATGCTGGATACATCCTACAGTGGTCGACAAGAACATCGCTACCTTCTAACTGCAAATGAACTGTCAAGACTACATGTTGACATCGCTGCTCTCAGTCATGTCCGTTTCTCAGAGGAAGGCAGCCTACAAGAACTCAGCACCGGATATATCCTCTACTGGTCAGATAATTCAGTAGCGGAGAATCTTCTTTGGAACGTAGGTTTCATGATTAGGGATTTCATTGCCTCTAAGCTTAAAAACCTGCCAACAGTTTATTCTGATCGCATCATCTTTATGCGTCTCCCATTGAGTAATCTTCAATATGTCACACTAATTAGTGTGTACTTTCCAACTTTATAAAATAGATCCAGTAGAAAAAGATAAAATTTACTCAGATCTGCAACGCCAACTACTAGACGCCACTGCAGATGATAAGGCTATAATCCTTGTCTATTACAACGCCAGAGTGGGCCAAGATTTTGCGGCCTGGAAGAGAGTGCTCGGAAAACATGGTGTTGGTAACTATAACGACAATGGGCACTTGCTACTAGAGATCTGCGTAGAGAATCGACTTGTCATTACGAACATCATATTCCAACTGAAAACCAGATAGAAAACATCTTGGACGCATCCTCTGTCTAAACATTGCCACCTCATTGACTCTGTCATAGTGTGCCCGCGTGACGTGAAATACATCATGCTCACAAGCGTGATGCCCAGTGAGGAATGACATATCAACCATCGCATTGTCCGCTGCAAACTCAAGCTACACTTTAAAGTTAAAGCAAGAATAGGAGGAACCCATTTTAAAAAGTTAAAGGTTGGCAGTTTTAAAGCAAATGAAGTGATGGTAAATTCCAACCAGCCCTTGAGTTAAAGCTTGAAGTTGCGAGCGTCCCCACAGATTCATTTCACACTTTGGGAAAAAACCCAAAACTGACATTCTGCATACATCTGTAGAAGTCCTTGGGTTCTCCTCAAAGAAGATAGCAACGTGGAAAATCAAGAACCGCTGGCGAGGAAGTGATCAACTCATCAGGCCCACTTAGTTCAGCCAGTTTGTTCTGTAAAGAACCTGCTTTCCGTATCGTATGCCGCGATCACTAGCACTGGCCTCTAGAGATTAAGAACGAGTTGTGGATCAAACTCGCTGAAAATCTCAGGTATATGCAGACACTGGAGACGCCAGAATCCTATGCGCAGTACGGTAGGACGCCCCTAAACAAGGCGTCCATCCTAATTTCCAGGCTCTCTTCATTGATAACCGCTCGGTCCAGGAACCACCAATTCTCCGCATTTCCCAACAACCAGTAAAAATGGAAATAGATGAGTTGCCCATCATTGAAGAGACTATCAAAGCCATAAAGCAGCTGAAGTGTGGCAAAACAGAAGGAGTCGATGGAGCGCCCTCTGAAATCTGGAAATATGCGAGTTTCAGTGTTGCATATGATACTCCACGAGCTCTTTTGCTGTTGTTGGCAGCAGGGAAATCTATCACAAGATCTCTGCGATGTAATCATCATTGTTCTGTACAAGAACAAAGGGGAACAATCTGACTGTTTCAATTACCGTGAGATTACTCTGCTCTCCATCGAAGTAAAGATCCTTGCAAGGTTTCTGCTGAATTCGCCATCGCTGAAGAGCACCTTCCAGAAAGTCAGGGCGTTTTCAGAGCCAATAGGAGCACGACATGGCGTTTTTTCTCCAGCAGCTTCAGGTGAAGTATCAGGAACAAAACAAGGGGCTGTATGTGACGTCATTGATCTAACTAAAGCATTCGACACAGTGAGCAGAAGGGGAATGTGGCAGACTCGACTGTCGTCCAAAGTTCCTTAACATGATCATTCGGCTGCATGAGGATTAACGTGGCTAGGTTAGTCACAACAGTGATCTCTCAGAGCACTTCTCGATCACCATCTTCTTCAGCATGATGCTCAAACAAGTCACGAAAGATCTTTATGATGGAGACCGAGTCTACGTCAGATACCGTCTCGATGGTGGCTTGTTTAATCAACGACGATAAAAAGCACACACGAAAACCACAGAGCAACCTATCCGAGACCTCTGCTTTTCCGATGATGATGCCTTTGTTGCACACACAGAAGGAGCTTTGCAGACCACCATTCCCTGCTTCATAGAGGATGCCAAACATTTTAGGCCTGAATTCATTTTAAAGGAGACAGAAGCGCCTTGGGATGAGTACCGCCCTGCCATCATCATCATTGGTGCGAGTGAGCTGAAGGCGGTCCATCGGATTATCTACCTTGAATGTACCATCATGTCAGATGCTGGGATCGACAAGAAGGTCAATAACATACTGGCATGATCGAGCATTGCATTTGGTAGACTGTACAACATACACCTGAATAAGGACACTAAGATTAGAGCGTACAGGACTATCGTCCTCGTCACTCTCCTCTACGGCTCAGGGTCATTACCGACACCAACTACGAATCCTTGAACGCTTCCTACAACACTACAGTCCTTAACACCGACTGGAGTGACTTCGTTGCCAATATTGAAGTACTTGAAAAAGGCGAATATAACCAGCATTGAGATTATGCTGCTAAAGTTCCAGCTACGTTGGGTTAGACATGTTTCCAAGATGGAGAATCATAGCCAGCCTAAATTTTTACTGTACGGCGAGCTCTCTACTGGCTTTCTCGCTAGAGCTGCACCAAAGAAGCGATTCAAAGATTGTCTGAAAAAATCCTTTGGTGCCTGTCAGATCGACCATTGCCAATAGTTAACCCTAGCTGCGAGCCGTGACGCTTGTCGTCTCACCACCATCCATGCTGTTTCCTTCTTTGAAAATACCTGCAAAGCTGTTCTCAGAGACAAGAGGCAGAGGAGG